TATATATATCCAATCACATTACGCTTCGTATATTACCATCCAGTGCGGCCTGATTATTCTGGAAGGAGCAGCGTCGAATGTGCGCCACATTTGCTGAGATGCCTCCCCCCCCATTCGCTGCATTGCCAACAAACTCTGAGTCGCTCACAGTGATCACCGGGATAGACGTCTGTACGTTGGTCGAGTACAACGGTGATCCAATACCCCCTCCAGAATCCTATTCATTGACACAGGACAGGTGTGTAAGCATGTGTATGTTAGGTGCTGAAATAGCCAACATTCAATAGCTCGCACGTGACAGGTGCAGTTTTAAGGTGCTATTATTATTGTCCGATTGGCGTGTACCTTCATGTGATTTGTTGCGTGCCTGTGTGTGCTATTTATGAAGCAGCCCAACTTGCATGTGTATGTCAATTGTGGCTATTTGATGGGCGTGCTATTTTCTCAAAGACCCTCAGACGTGTAGGGTGTGTAATTGTCAATAGATAAGCGTTTTAGGGTTTTACAGTTTTAGGGTTCAGAGGTTCAGGGATATTAGGGTTTTAGAATTAAGGCGTGTCAGGCCAGGGGTGAGACTAGATTCTGGCAGCAACGTATTGTAGGGCAGAGATGTTGCATGACCAAGAAGGGGTATCCCCTACTACTACTGTCCATGATCGTCCACATGCGGACACTCAACACAATGCATTGGCCCCACGCCCATGCCTGACTCCCCAGGAGCCATTAGCCGTTTCCATGGCAACCACTGGAGCCATCCCGTCATGTGGTACGCCGAAGCCGTCATACAGCGCGATGGGGATGAGCTACACAGGTGCTTGCTTGCTCACCCGCGATGGGTGTTATCACTGATTTATAGAGACATGGCACTGCAGAGTTGAATGTACAACACACAAACCGGTCATGTCGTAGTTGAAGACAAAAAATGTAGCATGAACGATACAACACACACAGATGCCCAAGACGAGTCGTAGATAAACCCAACCGTGGTCAAAACAGCTGTGTATATTTCTATACCCCTACTACAGTCTAGCATATACCTAAACCGTATATACAAACGCATAAACACACGCCATTTTAATATCAAACATGCAGAACAACTACCCAAAGCACCCATGCCAAAGTGGAATCGTATACGACACATACACACATGTCAATGCCAAAGGTGACACACCCCCTGGCCAACGTACCATCGCAAAATTGGACTCAAACTTGGTGTGTAGGAGCACAGCCAGATCGCCTCTAACATACAGCCCTCCGCCTGAGCCTTGGTGCGCAAAGTTGTACTGGAAAGTGGCGCGGGAGATGAGGCTACCGGCAAGATTGGGGTTGTTGATGTACAACCCACCCCCGTCCTATGGAAGACGTACGCACACGTGGATGTAGTAGACGGAAGAACAGGTTAGGTATGATTGTGACTGGTTGTGTTAGAAGAATAGTACTATAATATTAGAAAACTCGATGTGGTACAGAAGCAGTAGCAGGCGTCTGTTGGAGTATAAGGTAGGTCTGTGTATTGCAGGCCTGATGCGACGAGTGCGCAATTTCGCCACAATGTGGAAAGTATCCACGAGTGAACTGTTGCGTTGTCAAGCTTTGAAGCACATGTGAACATTGAAGATATACACACACACACACACACACACACACACACACACACACACACACACATATATATATATATATAATAAATAACACTAACCAAGAATGCGTACGTTATAGCTGTATCGTTGT